CACACAGCTACACACCACTATTGCTACACTCACTCACACAGCTACACAAAACCACAGGCGCACACATACTGTACACCTGCAAACCGACACACACTCACTCACACAGCAACACACCACCACAGGCACACACTCACTCACACAGTAACACACCACCCCAGGCGCACACATACACCTGCAAACCGACACACACTCACTCACACAGCTACACTCCACACACCCTTGCACACATACACAGCTACACTCACAGAAGAACTGCAACCTTTTTCAGTTTTTAGTTTTAAAAGTTATAGTTTTATTAAGACGTATCTGAGATATTTTAGTAAACATGAAATGCATATTGAATTCTTCATTTATGTCTTTAATTTACTACATAATCAGAGGCCTAAATTTCTCAAATAAATTGGTCAATACGTGTTTTTCATTGTTGTATTAACAGTGTCTTTACTTTTGCAAAGCCATTCCTTGAGACATCTTTTTGATTTATTTTCAATAAGATACTTCTGCTCTTCCAATGCAGGAAAACTACAGATTTTTCTCAGGTACACTCCTGAGCTATTTCTGTGACAGGAACCCACAGAGATCAAGCCGGGTCAGAAATCTGAAGATGAAATGGAATAACGTGAAAGGTAAATTACTTGTTAGTCACTTTATTGTTTATTTATAAGAATTGATTGAACAGATGAGGTTTGGTTTTTAAACAGCCTCACTTTCTCAGCTGCTGTTTTGTCTTCAAAACTGTGAAGGCTGTGAAGCTCCAGTCAGTGAGGGAAAAATGAGCTGGTGGCTCAGGGCGCTGGAGTGGTGTGTGAGTGTTTATGGCGTAATTGTGTGACTGTAGTAAGTTTGTGTGTGTGAGTGTGTAATAGTGTGTGTATGAGTGTCAATGTGTCTTGCTAAAGGAGAGGGTCTCACACAGCTACACACACACACATAATTCACATTTACACTGTCAGACAGGGGTCCCAGAACATCGCCCGGGGACAGACATGTGGACAGATGCCTCCACAGTGTCCACACAAGCCCGCAGACTGCCCGTCTCCGGGGGGATAGCTGTGTTTTCGATCAATATCACACGGTCCTGCAGTGTTCCTCTCCCCTTCCTCTGGCGTCAGGGTGGAAAGTGATTGATCGAAACGATCAATCTGCAGGAACGTACTACTCCCCCTCAGCCCCTGGCCCGTCACCTCCCAGGGGGGCTGGGCGTGTATCACAGTATTCGGTTCAGGAAGCTCTGGACAGAACCCGTTCTCCAATAACCCCCCTCGCGTCTCTCATTCTGTTTAATTAAGAGACAGCCTGCCCCTGTTCTCCCTGGAGACCTGTCACTCCAGTGCAGAGAACCTTTCCACTTGGAATGACACTTAAATTGTTCACAGGCGCAAAGAAAGTTCCTTCAATCTCGCGGCTTTTCCAAGGGCTCAGGCAGCTTGTGGCTTGTGATGGCGAATTTTGCTTTACCATCGTTCCAAACCGGAGCCCTGGGAGCCCACTGGCCCGGAGCTCACCCTGGTGCCCAGGTGTGACGCGATCCGAGAGCCATTCACTCCTCCCTGGGCAGGACACCAGTCCACCACTGGGAGCACGCCCCAGCAATACTGGTCTCCACTCACACACCTGGGTGGCTGGTGCTCCCAAGGTTACAACAGCAGTGTCTGCAGCAGGGACTCGAACCCGCGGCCCAAGCACTGTACTGTATGTTGTAATATGAGGAGAGGCCACAATCTGCCCATCCTACAGTAGTACAAGGCTGCACTGCCAGAGCACAGAGTCCTCATCCCCAAACCCCTCCGTTGGGCAGACACTACATCCTGGACAGTGATCTTCAGGGCACGCTGTAACAGAACCGCTTACAAGGGCCATGAGCTCAGAAGCTGAACTATATGTTAAAGCCAATACATTTTAAGATGAGATTAAGAAGATTCATGGGTACCTGGATTCTTGCGTTTACGTTAGACATATTTTATTCTGAAGGATGCTGTTTCTTGAAACGCCTGCCGTAGCCGTGGGACCCAAATGATGTCCGGCACGATGTTGAGGACTCGTTCAATTTTAATTTCTGTCAAAAGTTTTGGGGTCTTTCCTCACAAAGCCCAGCTCTCTTCAACCGCAGGAGTAAACTGCTCACGGGGAGAGGGACCGTGCACCGTGGCGTCGCCTCTTCAAGTCTTCATCGGGAGAAAATAAAGTCAGAGGTCTGGATAAGTTCTGACTAGGGATAGAAATGAGCGCTGAGCGGCTGGTGTGAATTTAGAATTATCTGTGCCACGAATATATTTATCTCGCTTGTGAACTCCGCGCCTGTTTCTTTATTTCTAAAAAGTATTATATTTGAATTTTAAACTCATGAGAGAGCTGAACGAAGCCAGGGTATCGGTTTCGGCAACACGGCCGCTCCACACTCGGGCACCCCTTGGTCTCTTCCACGGGCTTTCCTCGTGTGTCCCGGAGAAAACGAGAGAAACAGAGCAGGCCAGATGTAAAAAAAAACCCCACAGTGCCCCAGTGTCTTCTTCTTTACTTAAATAACCTGTTCGATGTAATGATTCGCTTCATTAGTCAACATGTTCGCCTTATCCATGTTTTAATAAAGGACTTATTAAATAATATTTTAAAAAATGAACCGACAGGGCAGCTGGCTGGATTTATGAACAGGGAACACTTGAATTCATGACCCTGAAAAACTGCTAGAATCGAAGCCACAGTCTCAGCCCTCAGGAACTCTGGCAGGGGCCCAGATTCGGAGCTGACGGGTCCGCATTCGTCTCGGCAGTGCAGCGGCGATTGGCGAGGCTGCCCACGTTTTCTCCGCGCACATTGTCACTGCGCTCTATCGTTAAAGATCAGGACCGTCACCGCAGTCTTTACACCTGCACCTGTCGCATCTTCGAATGCTATTTCAGTTCACTCTTATTTTGTGTAGTTCGCCTTTTTTTCCTCCTAGTTCATTTCTTGAGTTGAATTTAAAAAAAAAGAAGAAATAACGTGTTTAGGGGGAAATCTTTTTTCTCTTCCCTATTTCCGACGGAAAGCAATCATTTTTATCTGGAGTCGTTTTTAACGAGGGATGACAGCTCATGTACTGACGTGTGCTTTCCTTTTGCAAAGGTGCGATAAGAGAATTGTGCTCAGCGGTGCGTGGTTGAACCCAGACCCCTCCTCCAGTGGCGAATGGCGCTTTGTATAAAATCCCCCGAATGGCAGATCGCGACCAGAGAGCATCTGTGAGCGCGCCTGGACCCCTGTCGCCGCGTTGAGACCACCTGTTCCAGAGCTTAATGTGAGTACACCGCCCGCCGCTCGCTCCTATTCCTGCACGACTGCTGTATCACTGCTGAGCGCCTTCGCATGCCGCACTGGGGGAATTCAGTCCACTCTGTGAGGGTATTGTAAACTGACATTTATTTTTGTTGCAAAACTGCCCCCTTTTTTGAATTGATCCATGTAAGAAAGTATGTTATAAAGCGATGTTTTGCTCCTCCAAAGCTTCCCGGAAACAAGCAGGGCTCTTCGGTTCTTTCACTTGAACTCTTAACGACACAATTATCCGAGCTGGAGCTCTGGGGTTCTCTTTAATTACTTTAACCACTGTAATCCGCTGTGTTTCGATACCTAGGTCACATATCCAATTTCTCACTTGGGGATCTAGGTGTATCGTGGTAACCTTACGTTTCGCTTGAGCAGATCATGTGTCGGGAAGACACAGCCGTGTCAAACTTCACCTCACCTCGCACTTAGACGACAATCCTAACCGCTTCTCCACGCTGTTTTCGTGGTAATGCGAACACTAGCCAAGCTCCTACTAACAGGCCGTATCCCAGGTACTGGGCTCGATCGGTCTGGCGCCTTTACACACAGGAGCGTCAGCGTCGGTATGTCAGACGTACAGAGTAACACGCCGGGTGGAAACTGATTTACTGGGTTTACAGTTATCTCCCTCTCACGGTCAGAATAAATACACTTGCTCAACGTTTTGGAAGGTAACTCAATTTTATTTTAAAAAACAATTGCTGTCTATAAAGCTAACAGTACATAATTGTGGATGTATATTTAGTTTTATACTTTTTTATGGAACACCTTGTTTCCCCTCTTTCTGTATTAAAGACCATATTTAGAAACGGGCAGAAACACGACTGCTTGAAAGTCATTCATGCAGTGGGAAACGGTGTGGCACGGTGTACAATACACACAGCTGTCCAAAGACGAAAGCGCAACGTCTGACCAGATAGCATCCTTTACAACGCTACAGATTAGTCGTGCTAAAACCATATTCCTTTTGTTTCCGTACAGGTCTGCATAGTTGTGTAAACAGTTATCCATTCTGCAAAATACTAATTATGATGGCGATTTAGTGGCAAGGGTCGCTGAAACGCCTTTTTTGAACAGCCTGTATCAGGGTAGGTCCCGTCTCCCTGTCCCCGCAGATGCAGTCGACACTGGGCCTGTGGGCGGGAGTGCTGGCCGTCGCCTTCTGCACCCTGATCTGCGCGGGCACGCCGGCCGAGGCGTACCCCCCCAGACCCGACAACCCGGGCGAGGACGCGCCGGCGGAGGACTTGGCCAGATACTACTCGGCCCTGAGGCACTACATCAACCTCATCACCCGGCAGCGGTAAGGGCGCGACCGCGGTCTGGAAAAGTCTTCTTTCCGCTCACAGATACGGATCAATGTCTCTTACTGGCCTCTTCGATTACAAAAATATATATATATAGTTTGGATTTTTTTTCCCGTTGATGTTATTGGGATTAATTCCATGGTATAAACATAGCTCATGAACAGGTGTCGAGCAGAGGGAATTCGCTGAGTTCGATACATTTTGTTTTGTTAAAAACCCCGAGGTGCCACAAGCACTTTCGGAAATTGTTCAGGATTGTCAGGGCAGAGAACTCTTGTAGTAGCCTCTGCGTCATCTTCAAGTTGTGATTGTAATAAATAGTGGAAGAGAGCCTTTGTTAAAATCTCTGTCAGTCGTATTGTGTGGAGCGATGTGAAACATATATTCGTGCGTTTTCCCCAATTTCAGCAGCGCAGTAAGACCGCCCAGCTGTTGAGCGCTGCGTCTGGCCCGCAGCGAGTGGGAAATAGATACAAATAGCTTGAGATGAGCGTCAGCCGCCACCCGGCTGCCTTTTAGTTCTGAGAATGTATTTTAAAATGTTTTAAAACATTTCCAAAAGTGACATTACTAGCCTGTGCTTTTCCCTGGGTCAAGTACTTTAAATTGCGGAAACAGACCTTTTTACTTCTGAGAAAAACTAAACTCGTTTACTTCCCTCTCTCCTGTAATAATAGAGCGTGATGTTTCGCAAAGCTAAATTTCCTTTTTTCGCGGATCTTCCAAGACACGGATAAAGTTATCAGGACAGACCGTGGATAGCGAGAGAATTCAAGGGAAAATATTCATCCGCAGCTGCCTCGGAACACGGGTTCGAATCCGGGCCGCAGACCGTATTTTCCGCCCGGCTGCGACGTGCTGGCCAGGTCAGCCGGTCGAGTCTGGAGTCCAGAGCTGCCGCAGTCATGTCGGCTCCGAGATGCACGTTTTATCGACAACACGGGGCTGCAGGATCGCTCCGCCTAGCCCGGTGCGGAGCACCATTAGCCGGGCCCGCGGAAGTTTCCCCGAGCTGCTCGAAGCTCACAGCCGCATGTGAGATCGGACCGTTCTCATTGGCAGCCCGAGGCTTAGATATTAACGCCGGGTTTTAAGATCAGCTGTTCCTGCGCGGTGAAGCGGAGGGACGCGCCAGACGCGAGTGTTTTTCATGGTCTCTGCGCTGCGCACGTCTGACGGCTTCAGCGAAGGATGGGGTTGCTGACGACCCTGTCGGTGTCCTTCCACAGGTATGGGAAGCGGTCCAGCCCCGACTCCTTGTTCTCAGACCTGCTGTTGAGAGAGAGCACAGAGAGCATTCCCAGGACCAGGTAGGGCGCCAACAGGTGGCAGACGACCTGGTACAAAGGCCCGTTCACTTCCACGCAGTGCCGAGTGCGTTTGGCAGATTTGAAATGTTTGTGAATGTCTTATCCCCTTTAACAACCCTAGCGCAGTTCCGAATTTCTCTCCTCCTGCCGGGAGGGGCCCGCAGTGGCACACTGTAGAGAATCGCTGGGACGGCGCTGCCATTGAAGTTTTATTGCAAAGTTTATTACAAAATAGGAGAATCGTCTGCTAGTGGGCACTTGAATTCAAACGTTACGTGAGAGCTGCCTTTTGACAGAATTCCCACTTGTTTTCTCACAGTGCCTTTTCTTAACACTGCACGCGTTCCAGCTCCACATCGCTGTCCCCTTTCTTCAATAGGGAGCTTTTTCCACTCAAGCTGATGGAAAAGTAATTCCTGATGCTTTGTTTACCTCAGCGGATTTATTGTTGCGTCCTTTCTCACATTTAGAAACTCCTTCTGTGAAAGTCAATGCATAGAAATGACAGAATTTCACTCTCATGTTAATGTCATTCTGTCATCGTGGCTGAGGAATGAACACAAGACACGCCAGCAGGCTTTGAGTAGACGCCGTAGGATTAAAGTTCTCAGGACACATCTCCAGATAGTTCCACCCGTGTCGTACTGAGATCCTTCAGTAGAAACAAATTCTTTTTCTTTGCCGTCGTTATTATTATTGTTGTCATTTGTGTCGGTGATGTCTCGCTCCACGCACACACGTCCTCTGTGCTGATTCATTAGAAAGCTTGAAGTCCTCCCAGGCAGCTCTCCTGGAGGCCGGCATGTCGCTGCTCTCTGACGCACTCACACAGTGCAGCCTGTGCTGTGTACAAACTTAACTACACAGAGCAATGGGGCCAAACTCCAGCAGATTCTGAACATGCATCGTGATACCAAAACAAAACACACTTGAAACGGTTCTCCTATCAACTTTTTTAATCTTTAAGCTGCGGAAACCCAGTCCTTTAAAATCTGTTCTTTTATATTTTCAGATTCGAAGACCCTACCCTGTGGTGATGGGAGCAGTGCTCTCCGATATGTGTGTCCCCTCACGTCTCGCATCGCCGTCACACCAACACCCCGAGTCCAGGACGCCAGGGTCCCAAAGACAGATGCTGCATGCCACCATCTCCATCCAACTGTGTAGGAAGAACTCTTGCATCATACTGTATATACATTTATGTAAGCAATATATTTGTGCATTGCAATTATAATAGTGGAAAAAAAACTATTATTTGTATAGTAAAATTGCGCTATTAAAATTCATTTAAAAATATCATAGTCAGTGAAGTGATTTTCTTATGTTAAGATGCGTCATTTTTTCTCAATTTTCATTTTTGTATCTGTCTAAAAATACATTAAACTATGAAGTATATGCACGACAACTGTATGTAATGTCTGTATCCCATTATACTGACTTTACAGTTAACACAATGGTACTTTGCATAATTAAACCTAGATAATCCCACAACCCTTTTAACTTCACATTTAGAAAACTTCTATTATCCAAAAAATACCCCTTTTCACCAATAATATAGTTTGTCTCATAGCAGTCCTCGTCTTTTAGTCAATGTGCTTTCTGTAGATGGAGGAAACAGGCAGCTTTGTTTGGGGACTTGTCCTTTCCCCACAAAATACTTGGCCAGGCCAAGTCTCTCTCACGCTGATCTCCGCAGGCTTCTGCTGTAAAACAAGATCCACAGGTTCTGAAATAACACTCACTGATCCATGCAGCAGGCAACGATAGAGCCCAGCTCTTCCTGCAGGAGCTGTCCAGCTATTCCTGCATTTCTACCAGCTTCTTATCTACAGTATGTACAGGAGCCGTTTGGCCAAGGGAATTGTTCTTGAGATACAGAGTTCATTCCTGCACCAACACTGTTGGGTTTTGCTTGAACAGATTGCACAATATCTTTAAAAGAAGCCTGCAATTCTGCAAACATATATAGAAGTGTTTATAGCAAGTGTTGAATAAATAAAAGGAGATGAATGAAAAATGTGGGGAAAGAGAATGCACAAGTTTCAGATATGAAATCTAGCCATTGAATCAAATTCAAAACTTCTAGCAATTGTATTGTTGTCCAAAAAGCCTTTGGTGTTTTGCCATTCTTTTCCTGCTGTCTCAATTTATTTTTTTCCATCTATTCTTTACAGTTCATTTTCCTTTGTAAAGTTAGTTATTTACCATCAAAATGCATTTTACAGGGAGGTATAAAATATTTTTTCCAGCCCTGCTTTGTAATGGAGGTTTATTAAGTGACAATGGGTCTGACTAACGTTTCATGTCTTAACTGTAGACGTCAAATTTTAAAAGCTGCACAAGAACCAATTTCTACCAAATATAGTAGTTACCTCACATAAAATGAATTATAATTTAGTCTAAGTTAAACTTCAATTCCTATTCTATTTATATTTCTGAATTCGTCATAATCGCAGCTCCACTAAATAACTCACAATGGTGATAAAGGATCATCTGCTGAACACAGGAAACAGCAATATCGTATTTCTTCTGTGTGTCGGCTCAGAGCTCCCAGTGGAGACAACAGATTTAGTCATTGCCCTTAAAATTCACTTTCTTCTCATTCATATGCCAGAGTACGTCCATGGTTGCGGAACCTCAAACTGGGAAATCTCATGGAGTTGCAATCACTCAAATATTCTGTCTTTTCAGAAACAAAACTTTTGAAGTTCTTCGCTCATCTTCATCAGCTTACAGACATTTTATTCTTCTTGCTTCTCCTTGCTCTTGCACGGAGAAGTAATTGCTCTTTGGCAAGTAGTAAGAAGCATAGTTCAACACAGAATACATGTTCCACCTGGCAGATCGGTGCCATGAGGTGCCTGTGACTCATATCTGCAATGCTTCTACTGATCCTTTAAAATCTTAATTGCCTTTTTAATGAACCGACACCTTGACCTTAACCATGTCACCAGCACACATGGTGAGACACAAGTCTCTCTTCAGCAATTGTAGCTACTGAAGACCTCTGTGGGCAGGACTGAAGAGGACGGGTCAGGGCACACTTTCCACAACACTCCTGTCCAGATCCCGGGACAGCCTGATCTCCGGAGTCCAGGTGTCCCGTGTGGAGTGGAATGGGAGTTCTGTTCATCCCAGTGAGCTAGGAAGGCAGAGACACAGGGACACCGCTGTGCGCCTGACCAGGAGGTCCCTGGTTTCGGTCTCCTGCAGGAGGTACAGTATCATCAGGGCATCAAATCTGAGGTGCAGTAACTCAGTGTCAGTGTTTCCTCACGTGACTTTTTCCTTCTGTATGATCGAAGTGAAGATACCTCGGTCACAGTCTATGAATTTTCATGTTCTGTGTCCAAGCATCTGATTTTGCAGAGAGGGTAAGACAGCTGTTGGACTACAGAAGACAGCAAAGCTCTCGTGACTAACTTGGCTGGCTGATGCTTTCATCCAAAGCAGCGCACATTCGCTCCCCTTACGCAGTCGGGTAATTTTCTGGAGGGGTTTTGAATGAGGCATTTTGCACAACAGAGTCTTTCCTTCCAGTTAGGACTCCAGGAAACTCAGCGTCTCATTAGTTCTGCTAACAATTGTTCTTAAATATATCACTCCAAAGGAGCCCAAAGCCCTCTGTATAGGAACGGGCCCTTCCAGCCCACCTGGACAGAGGTTGAACGTCCAGTGAAATATTATGTTTCCTCGGTTGTGTCCTCGGTCGTTTTCAGCCTATTAAGTCGTGCCGGAATTTTTTAAGAGACGAAATTTTTTGACGGAAAATCCTTTAAATTATATACTTCTTCTTCTGAAAAACACTTTTTTTAAAAAAAAAATGTTTTTTGTGCCGTGCGTACTTGTTTTACAGTAATCCTGTTTTCCAGCCTACTCGTGAACACGGCCCCCTAGCGGCTCATTTGAGTATAGTCTTGACGGGTCGCTCCAGGCGTGCTCTAACTCCAGACCCTGCTGCTACGCTTCCAACACCTGATTCCCTTCATTAGCTGTTTGTTATCTGGATGTACGGCGTGCCCGTTGATCCATAATGAGGTCTGCTGAGCCGCACACGCGTCCACGCTGTCGATTGTTTTCACGGACCTCAGGAGGGAGAGAGACTCACGTCTTCGTTATCTCTTCCAAGACGTTATTTCTACCCTGCTCCGACAGGAGCCACACACAAACCGCAAATACGGAAATGTGCTGTCTGAAGTCTAAAAAAAAAATAAACACAATCCGTAATCCCACACTTGAACAGACCCCACAGGCTTTATCATTCTTTCTTTATCTCTATCTGCGCCTTGCCAGGAACACTAAACACAGCTGTCGGTCGCTTGCGGGTCGTGTCATTGCACAGTGTGACAGGTTGTTCAGACAGTACACGACCGGTTCGGTCTCAAAACTCCCAGATAACTCGGGGTTTTGTTTCCTAGATGGCAGCAGGACAGACTGGGTTCCTTACCGCGTATAAAGAGCTGTGCATTCCCATGAATGCAGGATATTATTTATTATCATTGAAAGAGAATGAGAGGCGGTTGTTCCAAAACCGAGGGTCCCCAGACCGGCAGACTGGCTGCAATGTGCGCTTTTATCCCACAAACTGGGTTGACTGAATGACCTGCTCTTATTGGTAACATCTCCGTGCAACCTTTTTTAGGCACAGTACAGCTTTAATATTCTGTACAGATGCACAATGTCAATGTACCAGCAGGCCACAGTTTTCTTAAATGACCAGTTCTCCAAGGCATTTTATTTTAGTTCTTAACAATTGGGGGAATAAGCTAAAGCTGTTTTTGCAGTTGAACATTGTGTTCACTAAGTGCCTTACCGCACACGACTGGTGGAAAGCTTATCGTGTAAGGCGTGTCGGTCAGAGCCACAACCCTTGAAGCACACCCATCATTAAGAGGCTCCCCTGAGTGTCCCTGCCAGGACGCTGGAATCTGACTGGACACCGTATTGTTGCTATTAAAAGGTAAGGGAAGAGACCCTCTGTCCTAAAACCTTGGCTTTCACAGCAGGGCGTTAAACGTGAGACAGATTCGAAGTTGCACAAGCCTGGTAGCAGGCAGGGTGGTTGTGGTGCTTCAGCGCTGAGACGTCTGGGCGGAGAAGCACCTCAGGTTTCGGGGTGAAGAAGCTGAAGGCCTCATCAGCGGAAAGTCCGGAGAAAAGCCATCAGCGCTCGGCGACCAGCACCTTTCCCTCACTGCTGGTGAAGTGCTGCCGCCTAGTGGCGAGACTGGCGTTGTGCCTCCTCTGCACGCACGGGGTGGCGCAGGGTCGGAGATTTCCAACACTCAATCTCTCGGTAGCCAGGGCAACTGCGTTTGTTTCTGGATGATATTATACAGCATGAGGGAAAAACAAAAGATGTACGTGATTATTGGAGCAGAAGCTCGGTTACGGCTCAGTAAGAAGGTTTGAAAGTGAGAAATGTGTGATGCTCCAAGTACTTCGCGTTCCTTCAGACAGCTTCCCTGAACTCGTGAGCAGAGGGCTGGCTTGGTTCTCACTGACAGCTGGTGTAAATCCCTATGAGTCCAGCTGTAGGCTTTCCTGAAGGATTGCTACTACTGGGGTTTACACACCAGCGAAAGACCGCAAAGGATTTCCAGTCTCAGCTGTTGCCTCTGGTCTGGAAAGCACGGACCAGCGGACTCAAGAACAGCCTCTATCCCACTGCCGTAGGCATCCTCAGCAGCTAAGCGCAGAGCCTCAATACACATCTGCACTCTGCACTTTTTACACGGTCTTCCACTTTTTTGGGGTCTCACTACTACATATTTATTTATTTTTCCACAACATGTTGGTGGTTCCTGTCGTCCACAGCGCGTGGCGCTGTCTGTTGCGGGGCGTGTGTCCCGAGAGATCGCCGCGATGAAGAACGTGCGTGTTCATATGGCAATGAACTCCTCTGCCACTGCTGGAATCACAGTCTGCAGAGGAGAACCAGTGGAGCGGGTTGTGAAAGAGAAAATGAAATGTCCAGCGTCCTAAGAGCATCGGCTTGCCAGGTTTGTGCACCTTACCTTAGATATTAAGGTAATAGGGCCATGTGAGTAAACGGCACTCCACGTACAGTACTGTATTTTCAAGGCATTTTTACATTGGTAGTTCGAGGAGGCAGCTGCATCAGCATGCGAAGACTCCACAGCCAACGCCTTGTGTTTCTTTTCTTCTCTTTCCAGCATGGGATTAACCTTTACTTGTTCATTTTTACATTGGGCCTATTTTTTTAAACCGCAACCCACCTTTGATACCCAATTCGATAAAGAACAATTAACAAGTCCAGCCTGAGATCCAAAATG